ATTATAACATCTGAACGGTTGTGCTTAGTTTGTTATGTTTTAAATGAATACATGATCACAGTCACGTCGCTTGTGTGAAGGCAACGGCTATATCTCTGGTTTTGTTGCCGAGAATTTAGCAATCGAATCCAACGTGATTTTGAGAGCAACGAACTCCATTTTCGTTCTTTAGTGTTCTCTGCAATTCCAACTCATAGAGAACTTCAATTTCTCATTGAATTTCATACAAAATCCTCACTGTAATATAAATCATACACGTGCAAGCAGAACAACATGTTCGTAGTATGGACATGCTGAATATTCTGTAATATTAATCATACATGTGTAAGCTGAATAACATGTCTGTATTATAGACAAGCTGAATATATTGTAATATTTGTAGTATGGACAAGCTGAATATACGGTAATATATATTAATCATACATGTGTAAGTTGAATAACATGACCGTAATATGGACAAACTAAATATATTGTAATATTAATTATATATGTGTAAGCTGAATAATATTACCACACACTAGTTGTCACTATACCTGACATTTTGGACCCGACCCATTAATATTAATATTTCGATGTATGCTTAACGGGTCGGGTCGTTAACGGGTGAACTAGTTAACTAATGAATCACTTTGGATCAACCCGTTAACACCCGTTAGTTAAGGATGTTTTAGTAATTTCAGTAAAGTCTAAACAACAAAAAATAAACTCTATACAAAAAAAAAAATATAATAATAATAATAATTATTATTATTATTATTAATGGATAACCTATTAGATTAACAGAGTTGGGTTTGGGTTTGGATGATCCGTTAGCTTAACAGATCGGATTGAACTCGATCCAAACCCGACCCATTTACAGGTCTAGTTGTCACACTATGAATTCCAAGATATGACTATAAACAAACCATTAGTTTAATAGTGTAGTATCCTTACATTTTATTTTATGGCTGCATCTAACCTTTAGGTTAGACTGCCTACATATTCTAAGACGACATCAAGTCATTCCTAGTTCACCCTCTATAAACGATTTTCAACACACACCACTTAAGCATTTGAATAGATTGCTCATGAGTCTATGACATCTATTCGTGCTTGTTAGACATGAACATGTTACCCAAAAGGAACAACATGACGATTCTTTCCCTAGGGCGTAATTTGTCCATTTCATTCCGTTTCTCATTCAGTTCTCATGTTTATTTCTTAGGTCCATAATCGTGCCGCAATAGACATTTGCTTCAATAATAATAAATCCAAACCAATTTCAAGCTTACTCTTCTCTTAAGAAAATCCAATTTCTTCAAATACTTAAACCCAAACAAAATCCAATTAGAATTTCTTCATTTTTCTATGCAACTTCAGCATGCCAACAAAACCCAATTGCATGTTTCAAAAACCAACAAACTTCACCTATCAATTTGCAGAAAATTAAACCATAGAAAGAAAAGTAACAAAGCAAAATAAACCAAACCTGAATCGAAGCACGACCTTCATCTGAAACAACAACAGGAGCAATCCAAGTACTGTAAGAATAGTGCCAATTCATATTCAGATTGCAGGTGACCCCAGAATCAATAACTGCGATTCCGTCGTGTCCCACCTCGAAATGCGACGGACCCACATCGATTTGGTAGATTGTGACGTTGGAGAGCACCATTAACATTTCCCAAAAACGGGATTCTCTTGGATTTTGAAATTTTGGGGAGCTGGTGTGGAATTAGGGAGGAAACGGCCTGAGATACGAGCAAGTCCTTCAGTAAATCGAAACCTTTTTTTTGGAAGATGACGACGGATGCAAAGGCTTGGTCGGCGGCTTGGAATTGCAGGTGCTTCACTCTCAGTCGTTACCAGAACCTTTTCGTTTCTGCTCCTGCTGCAATTCTATTTCACCTCTTCGTTTTTTTCCATTCTGAGAGAACGGTTCGCGCGAGTTGGCCCGGCCCATACCGGAAGAGCCTCTGCTCAAGGTCCGTCTTCTTCTTCGTCTTCATTCTTTCGGCCCTAAACTTCCCAAAATCCCCAAATTTTGTTTTGTTATATGTAAACAGGGTTTCTGTAGAAGTTTCAAATTGAGTCCTTACGCCTCGTTTGGCAGCTCGGACTGTACTGACTATTTCTGTCGGATGGGATAAATAGCCACCGGATAGTACTGACTAAATTAGTCGGGTGTTTGGTGCAGTATCGGACTAGTGACCGTATTATTTATACTGTGTTTGATATTATACTATATAGGAGGCATCAAACTTAAAAAAAAAAAAATTTTTAAAATGAAATCATTTTTTTGTTCCCAGGTCTCTCCGCACCCCCCAAACACCCTCCCTCTCTCTCCCTTCTTCTTCCCCGACGATAGAAGAATCCCAAATAATTGTTCCCCAACTCTCTCCGCCACACCCCCCAAACTCCCTCCCTTTCTCTCCCATATTCTTCTTCCCCGACGAAATAATCCGGACGTTTTGGTTGGTTTTATTAAGCGGGTATATACCGTATTATCCTATCCGACCAGTTAAATTAATCCGGTGCTTATTTAGTACGAGTGAACGTCAAACACCCGGGTCCGTATAACTAATCATATCCGATCTTTTATCCGATTTGCCAAACAGAGCGTTTAAATGGGGTATTTGGATATGATTTTTTTTTTATTTTTTTATTTTTATTTTTTGCTTTATTCGTCTTCTCTTCCCCTATACTTCCCAAAATCCTAATTTTTGTTTTGTTATATGTAATTTCTTTTATGGGGTTTCTCATAATTTCAAATTTCAATGTAATTTTTGTGTGAAAATTTTATTGCCTTTTTATGATGTGGTCTTGGTTGATTGACATTTGCTTATTTGAAATGGGCATGTTGGATGTCAAAATTTTATTGCTTTTTTCTTCTTCTTCCTCAAACCCCCAAGTACTTATTTGAAGTTTTATCTTGAATCTGATCAGGTTTTTGTCAATGGAGTAGGATTCTCTCCTCTCTTTTTTTTTCTTCTCCTTCCCTCCCCTCCTATTTTAACAATTACAGTTAAGTCATATCAATATCTTATATTAACTTTTTTTTATAGAAAGAGAAAGATAAAATAGAGAATGTGAGATGAGGGGATGGAAGGAGATGAAAAGAGGAGAGGCGAGAATCATAGTCCTTTGTCAATTATTATCTTCAAAAGTTATGATAGTTTGTGCTGGCCTAGCAGAAATCACAAAAAAAAAAAAAAATTGTGAATTTTATGTAAGGATTAAAGTTTGTAGAAGGTTGCTGATCAACCTTTGCTGCCACGAAAATAATGTACTTAAAAAGTTGTTGATCAACGATTATAGGTAGCTTGCAAATTTTTTTAATGTAGCCTATTAAGTGAATTTGAGAGCTACAATATTATTTAATTATTTTAACAATTTACATTAGTAGCTTTTATTTTTTCACATTGTAATCGAGAAGCATCTATATCATAAAAAAAATAAATAAAAAAAAAAGTTCTAAAGTTACTATCAAAGAATTTGAAAGTTTTGATTAGTGTATGTGTGCAAATTGTAAACAGGAATATGAATCCATGATTGAACCCCTAATTTGGTTGTACATGTGTATAGAACTTTTTACATATTTGATACGCTTTAAAAACCCGCAGCAACGCCTAGGTACTTATACTAGTTCCAATCTGTTTATGCTCACGCATTCGTGGGAACGAATGATATCCAAAAAATAATAATAGATTGACCATTAATTGTCTCTTACTCAACGGTCCAACAAAAACAAAAGAGTTTTTATCACAAATAGTCTTTGAAATTGACATACACTATGAAGATGGTCTATCAAATTGAAAATCAATTTATGCAGTCCTGAAAATAAGTCTCGCAAATCAATGTGGTTCTTCCGTCAAAATTCTTTCAAAAATTTTGTTATATGATGATGTGGTATATACATGGATCCCACGAGATTTACGACTTTTTATCACAAATAGTCCATAAAATTGACCCACGTCATCAAGACGATTCTTGAAATTGAAAAATCAATGTAGTCCCAAAATATAGGTGTGGCAAATTGATGCCTTGAAAAAACCAAGGAGTCTTAAGTAGATGGGGAATAGATGACTTGGGAATAGCTCAACCAGGAGGGACGGATTCGCTCACGTTGCTATGGGGACAAAACCTAAAAATCACTCAATCAGGGGCAACGGTTGACCTGTAAACGAGTTTACTGGGTTTAGGTCAGGTTCAACCTGACCCGTTAATTTAACGAGTCACCTGAACCCAACCCTTTAAGCTAACGGGTCATCCGAACCCAACTTATTAAGCTAACGAGTCATCCGTTTCAACCCGTTTCACCCGTTAACCTCTTTTAATTTATTTATTTTTTATAAAATTTCATCCAAATCAATTACAACCCCGTTCATGAGCATCCTCGAAGATTTGCTTGAGCTTGAGACGCTCTTTGGTTTGTGCGTCCGAGATAACCGCGGCGGAGACGATGGGGAGCAAACCCGACATTTTGTTTTGCTTTGGCAGAATTGAGGGCTTCGAGAGCCTCAAGGTGGAGAGCGCTTAGTGCAGTGAGCATCTTAACTCTTAAGCCTATGAAGTGCTGAGCCATATACGCCATGGTTGTCTCTCTCTTTGTTCTTTTGTGTTGCTTTGCTTGCAGTGTGGGTCTTGAGGAAGTTGAAAGCTTTTTGGTTTGAGAGAGAGAGAGAGTGGTGGAGTTCAGTAAAAGAGTTGCCAGAGAGAGTGCTGGAGTTCAGTAAAAAAAATTAGGGAAGAAGATGAGGGAGATAGCCAGAGTTAGAAGGGCAGGAGCACACCGATTTCTCATAGAGCAACGGCGTGCATGAGAGAGAGTGGATAGGGACTGAGTGTTTTCTATTAGGACTATTGAAATTACACAAAAGTCCTCAATAACAGGTGAAACAGGTGTTAACGGGTTTCGCGGGTTCACTCAAAATGATCCATTATTTAACAGGTGATTAATGGGTTAACTCGTTAACCATCCAATCCGTTTATCACTCACCCGCATCGAGTCAACTTGTGTAATGCAGCCGGATTGCATTACGCCCGCATGTTTTGGTCCACGCTTTTTCAAGGGCAAACCCAAGAAAGATAAAAATACCAAACTGAAAAAGAATGGTAATGATGTATACAACCAAGTGAGCCCTCTCCCTGAACTCGTTGCAGAACCGACAAGTGCTAGATCAATGTCCTTTGTGGGAACACACGAGTACTTGGCGCCTGAAATCATTAAAGGCGAAAGCCATGGCAGCGCTGTGGATTGGTGGACCTTTGGGATCTTTCTCTACGAGCTTTTGTTCGGAAGAACTCCATTCAAGGGGCAAGGAAACCGGGCTACTCTGTTTAATGTGGTTGGCCAGCCTTTAAGATTTCCAGAGTCGCCTTCTGTCAGCTTTGCAGCCAGGGACTTGATCAGAGGTTTACATGTCAAGGAGCCACAGCATCGTCTTGCGTATAGGCGGGGAGCAACAGAAGTTACACAACATCCGTTTTTCCAAAGCGTGAATTGGGCACTAATTCGCTGTACAACTCCACTCCAGGTGCCAAAGCACTACATATTGGAGACCTAACACACCGAAAGAACCAATAAACGGGAAGATGCCCGGTGTTGATTTGAAGCCTTCGGGTAATTATTTAGAGATTGATTTCTTTTGATTCTTAGCCTTTGTTTTCCTCTGATGAAAAATAAGTCTCCAACTGATTCATGTGGGTGCTACATGTACACAATGGTTCCTTTCCTTTGAGGAAATGCAATTGCATTGAAAATTTTGAGGAATGTATACTTGATGTTTATGAATCCCTATTTCAAATAACCTGTTTATGTATCGTCTGCTTTTCGGCCTACATATTGCTTGGAACAGTCAAATATTTGGGAATCTCTAGATCTACACTTATTTTTCAATCTCTGAAGCATTTCATCGCTTACTATGCCCTTCCTTGTCTCTGGGTGCCTAGGTATCCATCGTAAGGCCTTTATAGGTCAGGTGAACAAAATCTTTTTCAATTAGCGTTATAATTTGACACTGCCAAGTACAAATGATTTCCTTACGCTCAACATAAAAAATTGAAAGACCAACATAAACAATATGAAAATGTATGAACTGAAATGAATTTTACACTCCTCTTTATTTTCCTTACTCTCAACATAAATATTGAAATGTCGTCCCTACCCTACACTTCTTTATTTGTTGTTGGAAAATAATAGTTTTTTCAACTGAAAACGGCTCATTCAAACCGAAAAAACCCTCTCTCGCCTATCATGTACTTGTATTTTTCTCATCACTTTGCCACTTTTCACTACTATATTGAAATTTTTGTAACATTGGAGTTGTGATACATCATCATTTGAAACCATCTTAGTTGTTTTCGATTGCCCCCACTAGAAGAAATTTTTGGCTCCGTCCCTAGCCACAGTCATAGGTTTTGTTGGAGAGTTGCAAAGAGCAAAAGATCTGCTTCCTCAATTCAACTAATTTCGTTCGAATCAAAAGAATTAAATCCAAAAAGTGAAAGTAAAAAAATTCTAAAGTTGAGATTCGATTCAAATGAGATGGAAGCTATCAAATTAAAGATGCAATTCAAAATTGCATTAAAACGTTGAAAAGTTCAAAATTTATTGGAAAACACTACAAATTGACTAACATATTTGGAATTGGAGCCCTAGAAATCATAGAAACGAACAATGAGAAATGCTGGCTCCAGGCAGATTCTTGAACTTCTTCCGCTGCCGGAAAAACTGGATCTTTCTCTCGGATGGAGAGAGATGAAATGGAAGAGAGAACGGGGAAGAGAGATGGTGGTGGAGAGAAATGGGTTTGGATTTAAAAGTCTTTTTCTACAAGGATAAACATATCATTAACATTTTCATTAAAATATGGGTGGAAAAATAAGATAATGGCGTTGGCTTAGTAGCACTCCGCCAAAAAATCTACCGGCAGCAGGGAATCACAAAATCAGATGGGTGCACCATTGGGTGATTCAGACCTACACGCTTGTACCCCACTTCCAGGGTGCAGATAGTGATCCTCCTCCGTTTGTGGAGAGATTTTTCAGTGTGATTGGTACACGGGATGGTACACCATGTAAACAGTAACTGCCTTTAATGAACAATAATCGTCTTTTGCATCTTCACCCCTAAGTGAATAGCCATGGCAATAGGTAATAAAATATTAGTATTTTTTTATTTTATAAAATAATACAAAATAATTTTATTTGTAATTTCGGATAAGATTTTTAATCGTTCTTGTTGCATCATATGTCATTATCTGAAAAGACAATTTGTGGTGATAGATTTTGATAAGATTTTTTTTCAGATTTTTTTATTAATTTTTAACATTTTTTATTAACTTAATTAATTTATGCCGTTAAATTAAAAAAATTTGAAATCCAACCATCCAGATTGTGCCACGTGGCACAACGATAACATATATGAATTTTTTTAATTTTTAATTTTTAAAGGAGAATAACGTGGACCGTTGATCTGAAATCCAACAACTGGTATTATGCCACGTCATCTAGCCGTTTGGAGGAGGTTTGAAATTTTTTTTACTGTTGGAAATCCAACGGTCCAAAAAAAATATCTGTTGAAATCCAGCTGACAAGAAGGTGCCACGTGCCCCAGGAAACAGTAACATTTCAGACTTCTAGACCACGGGCCTCAAGACTGAAAAGCTGTCGATGACGCTCCCCACGCGCATGTGTGTGACACACGCTTGATGCAAGTTTTTTTATAGCATGGCTGACATCATCCTGACGTCAAGGCCTTAGGCGCTCGGACCTATGATTAGGGCTCGCCCTCTCACTTGGAACCCCTTAACCCAATCACTCACATGGACTGGAGCAAGGAAGGGAATCAATTGAATTGAAATGGTTGCCGGTCCACCAGGCTATCACATACGGTGGAGTTGCTCTTAGCTTCCCTCCAATATGATCAGAAATATCAAAAGAGGTATATACATGAACTACAAATCAAATCCCACGTGCCGTATGCGCATTGCGCACCTACACCCATACCGACACCGCCGTTCCCTCCTCAGCCTCCTCATTATATCAACACCAACAACCAAACAACAACTCTCTTTCTCTCTCATCTTTTCCCTCTCATCGTTTTCAACTTCAAAACCCGCTAAACCCCTCATTCTTCCTCTCCGAGCCCTAGCAATGGCCTCCGACGACCTCTCTGCTGCCGTCACCGCCGCCGAAGACGAGAAGTTCGGTTTCAAAAGATTGGACCTGTTCTCATCGATGAGTTCAAAGAGGAGGCTGAGCTGCGAGGATTGACGAATCAGGTATTTGTTACTGCTTGCTCTCACATTGGAGGCCACAAGTATGCTGGAAACTTGATTGTCTACAGCCCAGGTTCAGATATAAGCATGACAGGCCATTGGTAATATCCGGATCATAATAATGTAAAATTCATCGTATTGGGATAGATGGAGGAGTTTGAATATTATGTATATTAATTGCAGGTATGGCTAAGTCACTCCTGATGATGTGCCGGAATTTGCTTGATCAGCAAATTGGGAAGGGAGAAATCATAGAACGACTTTGGAGGTTTGTGCGTTTTTTGTTTTGCCTACCGTCTTCTGATGAAAAGTTCACTGGAACTGAAGCTTCTGTTGTCATATTTTCCGATGGCTGATTACTTATAGTGTTGTATGATAGATTATTGATATGGAGTTACATTAACATCGAGGAACCAAATCAAACAACTCGGTGTGAACCAAATCAAACAACTTTTTTTATTGATAAACCAAACCAGAGGTGGTTTTGGGTAAGGGGGGACGGGGTCAAGCAGGCACTGTTATCAAATTGTTTATTAAGCTTGATCATACCTGTCCTTACTCAATTGCTATTGATGAAACTTAGACTTGTATCTTTAAATGGCTAAAACGAAATTCAATTTCATTCCTCACAGGGGCCAAATGGGAGCATCTTTGGATGAAGCTGAAAAAATTAATGACCAGAAACTTGCAAATGGAGGGGAAAGTAAGAAAATCGAGGAGAAGCCCCAAGAAAACGGCAATCAGATTCAGAAAAATGAGAACCTTTCAGGCTGTTGCCAGGGTGCTAATTGTTATACCCGCCCTGCTTATAAGGATAATTCTGTATTTCTCTCTAAAAATTTATAGAATTCACACTTTAATCCTCAATTTCCACCCAATCAAGATCTGAAAATTTAAAGTTTTTCCCTATCCTAGGCTGCCAAGTGGCAGCACCCTAACCCACTTCCCTTTTTATTCTCTTTTGTCCCCCCCCTGCCGTGACCCCCTTTTCTTTCTTTTCTTTTGTTTGTCTGCACCCTTTTCTTCTCTCTTTCAAAGACTCCCCCATTTCTCTCCCTCTTCTTCCCCGTGAGAGTGCACACATATACCCACAGTTGCACCAACTCAAGGAGAGTCACCATCGTTGCCATTCAACTGCATCTCTCTCTCTCTCTCTCTCTCCCCCCTGCTCGCGGCGCCAGGAGGACACGAACACCTCCGACGAGTTTTGGTTGTTTTTCCGGTTGGGTAAGCCCTTTTTCTTCTTCTTTTCTTATGTTAGACTTTGCCTAGGTGTGGTTACTGAGTTGGGTTCATGATTTCCAAGGTTTTGGAGTGTTTTTGGCACGGGTGAAGGCACACCCAAATTTCCGGCGAGTTGTGTGGTTCCCGAGGGTTTTCCGGCCACCACAGGCCATTTCACGGCGAACCAAAGGTATAAAAATACTCCTCTAGTCTAGTGCTTCATTTTGGTACCTAGATCGGGGTCTCGTTTGTGTGTTTGTAGTTGGCCGGAGCTATGCAAGCTCCGGCGTCCCTCTCCGGCCCACCCAGGCCTTCAGGCCATCACCCATACCCACGGGCCTTAGGCCTGTTTGGTCTCTGGCCCAAAACCCTAAACCTTTTCCTTTTTATTTTTATTTTGTTTCATTTAAAAACCCAAAGGCCTTAGGGCCTTGGTTGCAGCCCAAACCCATTTCCCTTTCTAATTAGGCCTTGGGCCGTGAGATTCAAAAACCCAAACCCATTTTCCTTTTAACCCAAAACCCTAAAGCCTTGACCCGTTGACCCGTTGACCCTGATCTGTTGATCCGGTCAACGGTCAGCGTTGACTTTGACTTTGACCGGTCAACGTTAACTTTTTCGGTTTTCGTTCGGGACCCCTCCTAGGCTAATTTCGACGTTCTGAACCCGTTTTCGAGGTCTGTTTTCCCAAATTCAATCGTTTGAGTAGAGTTTGACTAAAAGTACTCATTTGTGTGTTTAAGTGCGATTCTTAGCGGTGTTTCCGTTATTCCTGTTCGGTATGGCTTGCACCATCGGTGTAAGGTGAGTGGACCTCTTCTAAAAACGCATGTTTTAATGGTAGAATTGCATACATAGAAAAGCATGACTTTACGATATGTTTTACGAAACGTTTTGAGATAACATGCTTACTGAGGCTAGATTGAATGATTACTAGTTTTCCTATAACCTATGTTCTTATATAATATTTGATGGATGACGATATGATATTTAGAACATGTTTATAACACCTCTTTATAGTATAAATGATGGATGACTTTATACTATGAAGTTGATTTTCAATATATGTATGTTCACTGGTTTTGTACTTACCTAGTGGTACCTTCCGCTACGGGACGTAGGGATAGATCCGGTCCGTCCCGGGTGACGGTTTGGTGTTGGCATAGGGCCTGGAGTGTGTTTTCCTCTGACTGTCTGCTCAGAGACGGGGAGCCGGCATGGGGCCTGAAGTGTATTTTCCTCTGACTGTGTGCTCAGAGACGGGGAGCCGGCATGGGGCCTGAAGAGTTATATCGGACATTCACTAGTGTTTATTATTTATGCGTTTTATGATTTGAAACAGTGCATGACATGCTAGGGTTCGGAAAACCTATATTTATCATTATACTTGTGTTTTCATAAACCTGGGGGTTAGTACGTTGATAACTATTTTATTATATATATATATATATATATCAACTTGGTCCACTCATGTTTGTTTTGCACCTCCTTCAGGACCTATGAACAAGGATTACAACCTGAACTACGAGGCATTCCCCTATCAATGATTTTGTGTTGTGTTCACTCCGTTTCGCCAGTTATTGTAATAGCACTTCCCTATCTTAGTTCTGCTTGTACTCTGTGTTAGACTTATGCGCTGGACGTGTTGTGTTTTTACCTAATTTCAATACTTAGAAGTTGAACTTTTATTTGTGTGGTTAGCCTTTATTGTGTACTTTAGATTATTTCTCAGTTTTTGTTTAAACTAAATGGCTTTCGTCACCCTTCGGGTGTCAGTCAGCACGTGATCATCTCGATGTCCCTAGGACCTCGGGGTCGGGACGTGTCACTAATAGTAATGGATTTACATGCTGCAAAGAAGTAGGTTTGGAGCAGAAGGGTGGAAGTGTGGAAAAAAGCTGAAAGAAACCAGAGAGTCCTGTGTCAGGAATGATGCCTTAGGGAAGCTGTCAAGCTTATCGGGAACTGGGAGCAAAGCAATGTTCTCGCAGCTGCTGCCATGGTTGGAGCAGTGGCAACAGTGGCTGTGGGCTATAGCTTTTATAGAAGGTCAGGCTGAAACGTACTCTAATCCATGTCGGGTTTTGCCACAGGTGTGGAGCCCATTTTCTTTTATTTTTCTTTGTAGAAAGATATTATAACGTCAATTAAATAAGCTGTTTTATGAAAGGAGAATATGGTTGCTACCCTATACGTTCTTTTTCGGAGGGTGGGATGAATTCCCGAAGCTAATCCATATAGTTACAAAAGTATTCATTGTTCCTCTCCGTGGTTGATTGCTTACACAACTGAAATTTGTTGTTCCAATACGCTGAAATTTGTTGTTCCAATACGCTGTTGAATGGTTTTATATTGATAGTGGGATTTGTTGTGATACTGCTTGCTAAATGGTGCTGTGGTATTTTCTAAAGCTCTAGTGATTTTCGATTTGCCTGCTGGATTTTTAATTCAACCATGTATTCTGTCAAAATTTATGATAATTCAACCGTCGATTCTTGTCATTTACAACACCTCGTCATTTGTTCTACAAACACCGTCACCTTTTGTGGATAAGTAAACTACCTATTTTACGACATTGATCCTTTTGACGTAAATTACGGATGCCTTCTCCTACCTAAATTTAATTAGTTACTGGTCACAAAGTTAAGATAGCCAGTCATCTAGCTAGTCGATTGAAGCTTGATCTTTCCATCTCTTGTTAAGATAGGTTGTTGGAGATGGAGTTGAACCAACCTGAGCGCCACCCTTAAAAACTGGTCAAAGTTGGGCTACAGATTTCTCAAAACCTTCAAAAAAAAAAATGGAAATTGCATCGTAAGCAGTTCAACAATTTTTAAAAAAAAAATTTGATAGTAACATTTAATTTACAAATTAAACTGTGGGAGGAAATGGAGTTGCACTCGCGCTATCGACAGGGCAGTGACGTCATTGATCAATTCAAAAAATTTAAAAAGGCCGACCTGCAATGAGGAATCTTGGGAAAGACTTTGACTTTGGCTATTTGAAAGCCAAGCTGCACTTCTACAGCCTGCAATGGATACCGGCAGCTCAGCCTATGGAGCCGCCGCCGCCTCCTCTTCGCGGCGCTCAATCCGCTGGAAGTACGAGGTGTTCCTGAGCTTTAGAGGTGAAGACACCCGCAACACCTTCACAGACCACCTCGACAAGGCATTTCGCAGAGCCGGAATCAACACGTTTATAGACTACCAGCTCAGAAGGGGGGAAGATATACAGAGCGAAATTGACCGAGAAATCGAAAGGTCGAAGATCGCTGTAGTCGTCTTCTCGAATAGGTATGCGGAGTCCCGATGGTGCCTGAAGGAGCTGTCGAAGATCATGAGGTGCCGAGAAGAGCAAGAGGGGAAAAAAGTCTATCCAATATTTTACGACGTTGACCCTTCTCAAGTCAGGAAACAGAGTGGAAGTTTTGGGGAAGCATTTCCGAAGCATGAAAGGGATGAAGATCCAAATGAAGTGAAGCAGTGGAGAAAGGATCTTAAGGCTTCTGCAGATTTGGGTGGCCGGGATCTTAAAACCACGGCGGACAGGTATACTGTTTTGTTTACTTTAAAATTTCTTTTTTTCTTTTTCCTTTTAACCCTTCCTCTAAATTTAACAAAAAAATAAAGAGATTACAATTAGGTTTTTGTATTAGCACCCAACCTATTGTTTTATTTTTTTTTATTTTTGAACGAAAATATATTCTACATTAAGGTGGGCTTAGACCCATAATAGACTAGCAATAATGTGGTTCATATTCACTTTTGATGAAAATCGAATCTAAAATTTCTCCCTTACAAGTGAAGAGGAATACTACTAAACCATAGTTACTAAGTGGCCGCACCCAACCTATTGTTGAATATACCTTACATAAATTTTATTAGTAAATGACTGATGTACCTTAAAATGAAATGACTATTTAATCCAAATAGGATTTTAAATATATATTCTCTTCTCAGGAGATAGCAGAAGATGTAGAAGAGCATTAGCAGTAGAACAGTGGCAATAAGGAGACTATAATTAGAATTTGATTTTATACGTTTTTAGGAAAAAAAAACTTTGGAGCATTGGTATCTGAATTTAACAAAATGTGAAGCATTGATCATTTACGCCTAATTGTATGAGAATTACTGTCAAAATTAAGCATGTGAAACACGCCACATGCTTAATTTGATGGTGAAGCGTGAACGGTGAATCCCATACATTTTGTCAAACACATACTAGTTCAAATGGATTTCTAATTCTATGACGAAAGGCTATAATACAGTTCTAGTCCAGGAGCATTCTAGTTGAGCTTATAACTAATACGGTTATAATGCATTTCGGAAACATGGTTGAATTTTAGCTTAGTTAATCACATGGATCAATCTCATTTACTCAAATCTTATTACTAAAAAAATATCTGGTCATGATGAACTAGGCATTTAGTTAATATGAATCTTGCAGTAGCATGATGAATCTTACTTTTGTATAATTTTGAATTTTAATTGCTAGACGTGAAGGATTGTTTATAGAGAAAATTGTTGAGGACATCAGGGGACTACTCAAAACAACAGACTTGAAACAACCCAAGTGCTTAGTTGGAATGGATTTTCGCATGAAAGAATTCAATACTGAATACTTTGACGTTGGAGGTTCACCTGATGTTCAAATAATTGGAATTTGGGGTATGGGTGGTATAGGTAAAACAACAATTGCGAGAGCCATTTTTAACAAATATCAGCATAGTTTCAGCGGTCAATGTTATCTTGAAGGGGTGAGGAGTAAAGAGAAAAAGATGGTTAGTCTGCAAGAACAACTTCTTCGAGATATTTTAAAACAGCCTGACATTAAGGTAAGCAGTGTTGCTGAAGGGACCAAGGAGATAGAGAAAAGTCTTGGAAGCATGAAGGTACTCATCGTAGTTGATGACATAGACGATGCGGACCAGTTAGATGAGTTGGCAATAGAACACGAATCGTTTGGTCCAGGGAGTAGGATTATTATAACAACAAGAGATGAACAAGTGCTGAATATAAAGAAGGTGGATAGAAGATATAAGGCACAAGAATTGACTGATGAAGAAGCTTTTGAGCTCCTTAGTTGGCATGCCTTTGGAAATCCTTGTCCCGACGAAGAATATATTGAACTCGCAAGAGATGTTGTTGATTATTGTGGAGGATTGCCCCTAGCTCTGAAAGTTGTTGGTCGCTTGTTGGCTACGAAAAAGAGTAAAAGCATATGGGAAAGTATGTTGAATAAATTGAGAAATATTCCAGAAAGAAAAATTCATGAAACGCTTAAATTAAGCTACGATGGACTACCGGATGATCATGTGAAGGGTGTTTTTCTTGACATATCTAATTTCTTCATTGAGTGGGACAGAGATGTTGTCCAGGGAATATTGGATGGTTGTAGTCGTTTTTCTATAGAAGCAGAAATTACCACACTCTGCGATCGATGTCTCCTGGATATTGGTGAAGAGAAAGAATTGAGGATGCATGATTTGATTCGAGATATGGGAAGAGAAATTGTGCGTGCAGAATCTGTGGAACTGGGAAAACGTAGTCGATTGTGGCAAAGTGAAGATGCAAAGAGCGTGTTAAGGAACAAATGTGTAAGTACTTATGTAATAAAAAGATGTTATGTTAAGTACATGTAAAGAAAGAGAAGTATATACGCATATATATGATGTATGCTGTACATAGTATATTTGAAGAAAAAGAAGAAGAGAAAAGGCTTTCATCCACTGTAAATTGAAAGAGAAAATACATAATTATGTTGTATGCCCTACCTTTCTGGTAGTTCATTCATCCAATTCACGGCTCTGCTTCGTGTGAATATTATCCTTTTTTTGTTTTTTTGTTTTTTTTTTAATCTCTAACAGGGAACAGAAGCAGTTGAAGGACTAATAAGCTTAAGGTTGCCAGAAGATTCTGATGACGAGGAAAGCTTCAGTACAGAAGCGTTTAAGAAGATGTGGCGTCTGAAAATTCTCGAGCTGGAAAATGTAAAGCTGACTGGAAGCTACAAACATCTTTCCAAGGAGTTAAGATTGTTGTCTTGGCATGGATTTCCTCATGAAGCCATACCAGCAGATTTTGATCTACGAAACCTAGTTTTTTTAATCCTGAAGTACAGCAAGATCGTACGTGTTTGGGAGGATTCGGACCTGGTACGATATAATTATCAATGTCCTTGTAAATATCAACATCAGTCATCGTCATGCATTCTCTCTTTTATTTATTTCGATTTTTATTATTGTTTTCTCTTTTTGAGTAACAGTTGCCTAAGATGTTGAAGTATCTCTATCTATTAGACTGCCAGAACCTGACTGAATTACCAGACTTTTCAAAACTCCCACATCTCGAGGTATTGGACCTCAGTGGCTGTAAGGGTTTGTGTGGGGGTTACCATTTTTTAGCACAACTGAAGGTAATTCAGGTATTAGATCTCATCGACTGCAACATAACAGATGGTGCCGTTCTCGAAATAATTGGGAGTCTATCTTCTTTAAAATATTTAGATCTAGGTGGGAATGGTTTTAATAGGCTACCCATTCTCAGCGGCCTTTCTCAGCTTAAGTTTTTATATCTAGATCATTGCACAAACCTTCAGGCAATCCCAGATTTGCCGAACAGTTTGATTGAATTGAAAGCGAATTACTGCACTGCACTGGAAATAATGTCCGACTTTTCAGAGATGTCGAAAATGTTGAAATTGGAACTGAAAGACTGCCACAAACTCAAAGATATTCCAAACTTGGAGAACTCAATGGACAACATGGGTTCAATTCATATGGATGGGTGTACCAGTCTCACTGATACTTTTAAGGAGAACCTCCAAACGGTATGGTCTCTCTCTCTCTCTCTCTCTCTCTCTGCCTTTAATATTGTTGCTTATACTAACATTGCACCCCATGGTGTAGAAAAATGCATTTGGTGGAATTTTTCTCTCTGGAAATGATATTCCTAACTGGTTAGCCTATGTCGTGAGAGAGGATGAAACTGTCAAATTTGAAGTGTCGCCAAGTATTGATTATATAGGAGGGTTGGCTTTGGGCATCGTTTATTCTTCGGACAACTCCGACTGCATTGGGCCTCTAACTATTGAGGTTGTTAACTGTACCCAGCGAACTAAGTTTCGCATCTGGCCTATGGAGGCCACCGTAACTGCTTCCCATGAATATTATCTTTGGTTGGGAAATCTTTCAAACAAGAAGCTCAATCTGAAAGGCGGCGATATGGTTCTTGTAAAAGCAGAATTTTATGGACGAGATAATAGAATTAACGTGAACAAAACAGGAGTGGATATTGTAAAATGGGATTTGTTTGATGGTTATACTAATTGGGAGGACTATGAGACCATGTCATATGAGTCTGATGAAGACACTAATGACGATACACAGTTGAGCATATGCCACGTTTTCCTCTGCTACAAGACCCCCGAGGCATGGCCGTGGTGCATTGAAGGCTCTGAGTCCGATCCGCTCCCTAAGTTCTTCGCCTCCGCTCTCAAAGCTTGCAAGAACGACATCACTGCTAAGGTCCGTTTTCCAGCTCAATTCGTCGGCGTTTCTGATTGCTTTTCTTACCGTTTCTTATTTCCTGGAGCTACTGAGTTCTGGTGTTGAGCTGAGTTGACTTCGTTACTCACTTTTTTCTTGGTTTTGAAAGACGTTGCTGACAGTAATTGAAGGACGCGAAGGAACTGAGTTTTCCGACGGCGATGTGTTGATTTTCCCACAAATGATCAAGTACAGGTAAATTCGCGTTGATTTCTTGAGGTTTTTGTTATGTAGTTGCTTTAATTTTAATCCGAATTTATAGGATTTAGATAATTAACCAGTGAGTGGAACTGAAACCGCTGTTGAGTATTTCTTAACGATACAATAGTAATAAGAATAGGTATATTAAGCAAGCTTGAGAGGTAAGCAAGAGAACAACAATGTCGCACTGGAGTAATCTGAAGCAATAACTTATAACTATTCAAGATGGCACATAAAAGCTTAACTTGGTGGATGAAAAAAGTTCAAATGGTGGTTTGATTATGGAATACTGAGAGTGTTGTCTTACCTATAGCTACATTGAAGAGTACCATGTAAAATTGCTTACGAGACTAAAACATGAGCCGACCCACGTTCCCACCCGAGTGCTATTCAAAAGCTGAGTCATATACTATTAAAACTAAGTCGTATACTATTGAAACGAATTATTTCCTTACTACAACCAACACTTCCAATATCAAAAGAGAAAGACATAACAGTATACGACGCATTAGCAGAAAAGTGCCACATTACATACCATCAAATGACAGCAACTAACTCTTGATATCAACTGCTGGAGGAAAAAACCTTGCCTGATACAAAACAACAATTAAATCGAAATAGTATGTAAGTTTTAGTTACATTATAACTGACAGTGTATGTAAAAAGGCTTCAGACCTAACTTACCATATTTGAAACTAAACGAAAATCGAGATGGAATCCATTTCAGGAGACATTCAGAGATCCCATATTTGAGACTCTACACTAAAATCATTTCCAATGAAATTTTCTCTGCATTTGAAACTACTTTATCTCATCCTCACTAAATCTGCCAACACTGCATATTCTCTCGAAGAGTTCTCACCCAGCCGTGTACTCCATCACAATGGCCAGATGAGGTGGTGTGAGCAGAACCAGCAAGAAAGACACCGCACTACTCTCAGGTCTTAAACACAAACCTCTATCAATTATCTCAAATAAGCCACTCTAAAGACTATTTCCACTTCACAGTAAAAACAAAGTGCAGGAAGTATAGCTCTTATTTTTAGCAGTTTAAGCACACCAGAGGCCAAATTTAGTGTGTTCTATCTACATCCACCCACCCTCAGCAGATACCTGTACAAAATTCAAACAGAACTTGCCACATTCATTCTTAAAATACAAAATGAAAATAGTTTATGATCACTGACCTCTTGGAATCAAATGATATTCATCTATCTGTGGTTCATGATTTCCCTTTGAACATGTTCATCTATCTGCATCACCAAAAATAAAAATATTTTTAAAAAATATAAAGTTTAAAGGATGAGAAATAAAGAAAATTCAGAACCAAAGCATCCAAGTCTCACCCACCAAGATAATCAAGACATCCAGGACTCAGCCACCACCCAGGTAGGTAGCAAACATACACCTAAAGGCTAAAAAGGATAGGGTCTCCATCAAATTAGCTATGGTCAACCTAAACCAAAATCAAGTGACAAATAAACAAAGGTATGCATAAATCATTTTCTTAGTTTGCTTTCCGATGTTAACATGTAAAGAATGAATTAGAGTCATTCGATCTTTCGGTGAAACCCAGCCCAAAACGTGTGAGAGCTGCACCCTGGGCCCAAATGCAGCAGCCCAACCCAGTTGTTAAGCACGGCCCACACTAACACACACAATGGCAAACTGTAATTAATTCATAATCGAAGGCCCATTCCATAACCAACATGAATTTACTGACCTAAATAGATAATTAGATATGTGTTAGCTTCTGAAATTAGCTCTAGAAATTGAATTTAATGGCTCAGTTTACGGCTAATTCCTTGCATGTAAATCCCTTTTTGTGATTCTGACATTGTTTTTGTTTGTTGATCAAAGGGGCTTGAAAGAGTCGGATGTGGACAGCTTTGTTGATGATGTCCTTGTGAATAACAAACCATGGGATTCTGGAGTGCAAGAGCCGTTGACTGGCTCCCATGTATTTGTATGTGCACATGGTAGTCGAGAGGAATGGCATCGTGATAGTGCACGTGTTCTCATTGATAAGTTCGAAGAGGAGGCTGAGCTGCGAGGATTGGAGAATCAGGTATTTGTTACTGCTTGCTATCACACTGGAGGCCACAATGGAAAATTGATTATCTACAGCCCAGGTTCAGATGGAAGCATAACAGGCCATCGGTAATATCCGGATCATATCAATTTAAAATTTTGTCGCATCGCGATCGATGAAGGAGTTTGAATATTATGTATTATTAATTGCAGGTATGGCTACATCCTTCCTAGTGATGTGCCAGAATTGCTCGATCAGCATATTGGGAAGGGAAAGATTATAGAACGACTTTGGAGGTTTGTACGTTTTTGATTTTGCCTACTGTCTTTGGATGAAAATTTCACTGGACGGAAGCTTGTGTTGTCATATTTTTCAATTGCTGATTATGTCTAGTCTTGTATGATAGACTTATTGATATAGAGTTACATCAACATGGAGGAACTTTTGTGGAGAAAGCATAAAAGAATTGGATATAACTGCATTACCATGTATATGTCTCTGATTTGTAATGTTGTTGTGATTTGTTTATTAAGCTTGCTCATACCTGTTCTTACTCAATTGCTATTGACGAAACTTAGAGTTGAATTCTTTAAATAGAGGAACACGCAATTCAATTTCATTATTTATTGGGGCCAAATCGGAGCATCTTCTAACGAAGCTGAAGAAATTAATGACCGGGAGCTTCCAAATGGAGAAGAAAATAAGAAAATAGAGGAGAAGTCACAAGAAAATGGCAATCAGGTTCACCAAGAAAATGATGATCAGATTCAGAATAATGAGAACTTTTCAGGTTGTTGCATAGTGTGCTAATAGTGCCAAGAAGGATGCCTTGGGGAAACGATGTTCTCGCAGCTGCTGACGTGGTTGGAGCAGTGGCAACAGTGGATGTGGCCTATAGCTTTTATAGAAGGTTAGGCTGAAACGTACTCTAATCCATGTCAGGTTTTGCGACAGGTGTTGAGGCCCTATTTTCTTTTTCGTTTTTTCTTTGTAGAAAGATGTTATAACGTCGATTAAATAATCCTCCGAACCATGCTCTTATATGAAAGGAGAAATCTAATTAACTGTTGAATGGTTTTATCTTGATTGGGATTTCTTATGAGGCTGCTTGCTAAATCTTAATCTTCTTGAAATATTTTTCAGATATACTGCATTGTTGTCATAAATTTTATTTTCGTTCTAGAACAGGTTTTTTTTTTCCTTCTTATTGTGGTTCACAAACTCAATCTTATGTGGTAATTCAATTATATCTGTTAACTCAATTTATTTTTGTTGCAATTGGCTCTTTACTACAATGATGAAAAGGAATTAAACTCTCGCATAATAGCGTTGGCTCGAGTAAATGTTTTCATTTTTGTTCTCTCGTGAACACCTTGAAAATTTTCATGTCTCAATTTTATTATAATTTTTTGACTTTCTAACTTCCAAATTCCAATGCGTATTTTAGCCTGTTGGAGTTCAATTTTCCATCGTTTGATGAGATAGGTTGTTGGAGATGAGGTCTCTTCCCATTTGATACTCCCTAGACTGACCCCAACAGTTGGATCGTGCTTTACCCCGAAAATTCTTACATCCACCAGCAGGGGCGGTTGGACCGACCTGCGCACCACCCTTAAAATACAATAAGGTCGTCAACTGGTCAAAGTTGGGCGGCAGATTTCTCAAAAACTACAAAAGAAAGGAAATTGCATCGTAAAATATTTAAATTTGATGGTAACATTTATACAAATTAAACTTTGGGGGAATAGCACTCACGTGTTATCGACATCATTGGCCCATGCAAAATATTTAAAAGGGCCACCTACACTGGTGAATCTTGCGAAAGACTTGACTTTGGTTATTTGAAAGCCAAGCTGCACTTCTACAGGCTGCAATGGATACCAGCAGCTCCGCCCGTGAAGCTGGCTCTGCCGCCTCTTCGTCTTCCTCAAGGAGCTCAAACCGTTGGAAGTACGAGGTGTTCCTGAGCTTTAGAGGCGAAGACACCCGCTGTTGGAATCAAATGAAAGTTGTTTTTGATCTAATGGCTGAGAAGGAAGGGATCAACTGTTTAAGTCATTACTTAGTCTCTTAGGACAAGTGTAGGCTTAGATTTTTGTTATATGAATTAAGGGCTGTGATAGCTTGTAACAAACAGTTGTGTTCTGATATTTCTCTAAAATATCTGTGTTGCTGCTCTCTGTGCAGAGAGCTCTGCACATTCCTGAAAACTTTTCCTCTTCCGTGTAACATTTTCCCTCCTAAAATATCAACTTCAATACAATTTCAAGATTCTAACATGGCCTCAGAGCTTAGGTTCTGATCAAGAATTCAAAACTGGGCGTTTTGTGTGCTTCGTACTACTGAGAAAAGGAGGGAAACTCATTTCCAGAATTTTTGAAAACCTTACTGTTCTTTCGAAGTCTCACATGGCTACTTCGAGCAGTGGAGGAGATCTGAGGGCTCCTATCTTCAATGGGTCCAACTACGATTTTTGGTCTATCAAGATGAAGACCATATTCAAATCATATGATCTCTGGAACTTGGTGGACAAGGGTATAGAAAACGCAGAGTCTGGTGATGATTCCAGTGATGAAGAACAAAAGTCAGTTAAGAGCTCAATGAAGATTAATGAAACCAGAGATGCAAAAGCTCTTGGCATCATTCAAGGGGCAGTTTCTGACGAAATATTTCCTCGAATCTCAAACTTTGAATCATCCAAGGCTGCGTGGGATGTTCTTCAACAAGAATTTCGTGGTGACAAAAAGGTTAGATCTGTTAAACTACAATGTTTAAGAAGAGATTTTGAGTACATTAGAATGAATGAGGGCGAATCTCTATCTGTTTATTTAAC